TGCCTATTGGTATATATTATTGCGATTATTGTTGTGTCTGCCTATTGTTGTGTCTGCCTATTGGTCTATAACGTATATATATAATGATATAATATTATGCAAGATGGTAATGACATGCTAGGTGCCTTGCACTGGGACAGTCCACGGTGATGTTTAAGTTGGACAGTTGCTGGGACTGGCTAACCGGGTGGCCGAGGGTTGTTACATTGTTGCTGCGACTCCACTGAACCCATGGCCTCTAGGCCTTTTTGGGAGAATCAATCCCTTTGCATCTGTAGATAATACAGAATGATACAAATAGATTGGGACAATTAGGTCTATCATGGTCTATCCTCTATGCCATTACCACTAATAGTGGATGATGGTGGTTAGTAAAGGCCCTGTTCCAAGATTGTGATCATTGTTTACTGACTGTTACAGGCCGTCTTGACAGACCCAACAAATAGACCATCCTAAAACCATGATCCTGCACAGCCAACGTTCGAGTCGACACGCTGTTGGTCTGTCATTCGCTCTTCGGTCCTGGGGAATGCGGCATCAGGCTCTGGGCACACGGTGGTGATGCATGATTCTATCACAAACGAAAAGCCGCGAAAAGCGGTCACCAAACGTGCTTTTCATGCCCTGCCCTGCTGTGTGCCACCGCCCTGCTGCGCCGGACCACGATCCAAAAGCGAAAGAACCACCTCTTGCGGTGCCTCTTTGGGCAAGCGTTGCCGCAGGAACTCACGCTGAGCATCGGGAGACTCCAGCTGAAACCACTCGAAGTGTGGGATGACGATCACCTGGAAGCCCATGGCCTTGGGCGGATAGTGTACGCCCACCGCCGAGCCCCGGAGCGAGGGGCTCGCACAGAGATCGGGGGATCGCCAGAGTGGTTTGAAGGTTCGGGACGTTCTAACCAAACCACGACGAACACATCACACGGTGGAAGTGGATGGCATGGTCCCGAAATGAAGACGACTTTCCTTTACAAACAGGGGATTTTCATACCCGTTCATATTCCATAGGAGGGGTCGTGCACCCCATTCTATAGCTACAATCTCTGGGGCATGCAGAAAACACTATAGAATGATCGGTCTTCACACCAAAACACTACAAAATGACAAGGCATCGATAATAAAAAAAAAATACTACAAAATGAAGTGCCATGCAGTTTCACAAAAGCAATGAACTGATACATAGCGGACAAAATCATGTTAGGATGATCATGACTGTCTACTACAAAATGAGAAGCCAAGAAAAATGTATAGATTTCTTAGACAAAGATGCTCACCACAAAATGCTTCCCCTACTCTTGTTGAATCACTACAGATTGTGTTCACACAACCCTACACATACTTAACATACTTGACTAATCAGGAAGAATAAAAATCTCTGCAAAATGACTGTTCTTCTGGCCCAAACCAAAAAATAAAAAACTATATCATCTCTCCAAACCATTGATTTACTACAAAATGACAGTGTTTCGGGGGGTCTCCAGGGGACCCCCTCTATACAGAATTTACTTTTTATAGTGGCCTCGAGGTCACCCATTTTGTAGGGGAAATGTTCACGGGTATGGATTTTCCAATTCCATGTGACGTGTTCGTCAGAGTGTAAAAATCATGGTGTGAGATCCTTCAAAGGATCTCGATGTGAAGATCGTCGAGAAACTGCTGGCGTCGACTAAATTGAAACAAACACGGTCCACTGTCACTTCGACTTGTGGATGTGACATGATTTGACCATGTCTGACAGATCATGAACACATGAACACCAAACAAATCCGGGGGACGCTGTGGGTCACCAGGAAAAATACCCTGGACCTACCTACGATAATAACCTTGGTCTTTCACCTCGCTCCGCCTGGGCCCTTTGATCCGTCGTCCCGCCGTGACCCGGTCGAGACGTCGCGGAGTTCAGGGCGGCCTGGAGCATCTCCTGGCGCCGTCGCGCCAGGGCCGTGAGATGCGAGGAGCGCAGATAGTATTGCCACGCAGGCGCGGCTTCCACGATGCCTCGAGGGTGAGAGACATACGTGAGACTGGCAGGCCAGGCCCCTGGCAGAAGGCCCCCGGCAGGTCGGCCGAATCCCAATGTAATGTCTGTAGGATTCGCAAGAATGGATACGATTTCCCCGCACACGCGGGTAACAAGGGATCCCATCAAGCGGCGTAAATCGATGGCGGTCGTGCGTTCGTCTGACGCACTTTTGTGAGCACATGGCACCAGCAATCGTCCACAGGAGTTGGTGGCGTTTGTCGTTTTGACTCCTGGCGGAATCAAAAGAATGAGAGGGACGTGGTAATCACTATGCCCGGTCCTGACTTTAATCAGTCTAGGGGCCCGGGGGCTTGCGCATCGTAGTGAGCGAGCGGAGGTGAAAATCATTGTGATGGTTTGCTTCGCTGGTGAGTGCTGGTGAGGGATACCCTGGCCTTCCAAGACCCTGAAACAAATGGTTGACCTTGTTTTGTCATGCAAAATACCCTTTGTGAAACACTGGTTACTTGGTAAGGCTAAAATGTTAAATCAATGGCGGTTGGAATCCTAGGACATCATGGTCTTCAACATCCCAGGACTTGGGATGACCAACATCATCGCGGCAACTTCTGAGGTTGGGGGAAGCCCTTAGATTGATAGCTCCGTTCTGTCACCCCAATCAACCGTTTCCTCTAAAAGCACGCAAAAGACAAAAAGCAAAGGAACATGGACCCTATGGACCAAGCGATCAGGATCCCCAACCGATCAGTCCAAAGGACACATCTCAGCCAGGTGAATATCCAGCACCATGGGCCCTGCTGAGAGCTTGTTCCGATGCTGAAGGCCCATAGAGCTCAGCATGCGGCTCACCTCCTGCCAAGATGGTCAGTTCTTGGGGTTTGCCTCTGGAACCTCAGTGCTACAAGGGCCATCTCTGTGAAGAATCCCCTGGTTGAGCCCTTCTGCAGGTCCCCCCCAAAAAAGAATCAGGGCATATAATGTAGGGATCCAAATACCCTATCAGAAGGTACTTGGACCCTCCTGGCACTTATACATAACAGTCTCCAATCACCTTCTCAGAGCTACGTGAATCACTAGGGAAAAACTTCCGGAGACCTAGAAATGGGCATGCTACGGGAATCTCCAGGAGCCCCCCAACCATGGCCTAGAAAACCAGTTGACCAGGAGACCCATTCCCCCTCCTGATGAAGCTCCGAGTTGAAGCGCTGCCGATCGAACTGCCGGACCAGCTCGGTCGCGGGCAAGTCATCGTCGTCGGAGTGAGAGTCCTGCTGTCGGACCAAATGAATGGGACTGGAAGGGTTACAACGCGTTACAACCACATGGATGGGTGATCAATGAGCGAAGTGTATGTAACTTTACATGGATGGTCTGGGTATGTCTGGGTAAGTAGAATGTTGGAGATATTTACGGGAGTGGAGTTCGTCCTACTTCCCCCCTCACTTCCTTCAAGGTCCGAGTCCCAACCTCCAGACTCCCCAAGAAAAGCACCATAAAAGGAGGAAGAAAAAGCATCCAAGTTGGGAATCAATCAAAAGACACATCATGCCGCCTGGCCTAGGAGAAACCGTTCTCTCATGCTGCGCCTTGCCGCCTTTTCCCATGCTGCGTTTTTGTGTTTCTCCCGGCGTTGAACTTACCGGTGGTGAGTGCTTAAGGCATCTTAAGGCAATATGTTGAGGTGTTCTAGGCCTTCAAGAGCCACCTGTAATTCCCAACCTGAAACTGGATTCGTTTATAGCCCTCTTTTGAGTGTCTTCGGCCTATCGACCTTGCCACCGAACATCCCGGGTCCAAACGCGCAGAATCCGTGAACATCCCGGAAGGTGGAGGAGGTTCCCAGCTAGCTTGTCCGTTGTGCAAACACTCCATGGGACTGATAGGTATATTTATAACAGTAGCTACCAGTACTTGGGGTGGTTGAAAAGCTCAACTGTAGGCATACATTGGGTCTATCCTAAACAGTGGATGATGATGGTTAGTAAAGGCCTTTTCGAAAATAGTGATAATTGTTTACTGACTGTTACAGGTAATAGGCCAGACCCTAGGCATACATCACACATTATGGAGGTCTGGGTTCTCATTCTGCGACACCAAGCGACCATGACATGGCCCAACATCTTGGACGAGATCGACACGCAGGACGTATCAGGACCAGCCATTGGGTATATTCCATTCCCTGTAACAGTGGATGATGGTTAGGTTGTAGGCCGACATAACAGTGAATTGTTTACCGACTGGTCATGGGACACACCCAACCATCCAATTTCCTCCAATTTGGACCGCAAACACTAATTTCGTCCGGAGGTGGAGCCCCAAACACCATCAACTCGATGGGGTCCTCTCGGCTGGCATTGGCTGCTTCCCGGATCTCTTCCAGAAAAAGCCTCACCTGAGGGTGTGACGAAGGAAAACACCAAAGCTACCCCATCAGACAACAAAAAAAAACAACCATCCTGTGCCAATCAGTTGGGCAATGGAAAGGCTGCCAGTCCCAGTCTAGTATAGGCGAGGGTCCTGCGTCGGGAGATGAAATTGGATGAATCAGTTCGCTTCAATTTGTGGTGAAACTGCCCATGTGATTTGGTCGGAGTGCTGCAGGATGTCCAACTTGGGCTCAGGGCTGTGAAAAGCTACTTGAGAGGAGGGAGACACGAAAGGTAGGACAGCGGGAAGAGAAGAGAACGCGAGAGGCAGGAACAAAAATGCAACGTTCGACATGGTGATTTATCCCCTCGGAGGCGACCTTTCGTAAATATAATTTCATATATGCACTCTAAATGTTGAAACATATGCTCTCGAAATGTTCAGAAAGATTCTTAGGAAAACAAACTTGCCCCATGGCTCAGATCATCGGTGAGCATTGAATCGGAACATCATAGGATTTGAACTATCCTGAAACCATAAGAGGCTCACGAAGACGTTCCAGGAGAGAATTGACGTGCTTCACAAAACAAACTCTAGGTATGTATCCCTTCGGGGAAGACCTTTCGTGATTAGAATTTCATATGCACTCTTTCTGAATGTTCAAGAGGGTTTCAACTATCCTGAAATCATGAGAGGCTCACGAAGAAGTTCTCCAGGAGAGAATTGATTTTGTCGGGGGGAGGGGGGGGGTCTGTATTGAGAAATCAATTCCAAGGGGGGGGGGGTGAATTGAGCAATCAATTTCGACCCGGAAGAGCCGACACTTGCTTCGCAAGACAAACTCAAGGTATCCCCTAAAGGGCTACCTTTCGTGATTTGGAGCTCTTTGAGAACACTCACCACTTTTGGCGCCGGTTTCATCTGTCCCATTCGCTGCTGAAATGCAGACCGGCCGGGCCTCCTCGGACAAGGAGTTCCACAAGTTGGGGTACAACAAGTGCACATGCAACTCCACCATTTGCAAATGCCGAGAATACCTGGGGCGGAGAATACATGGAGCATACATGGAGCAAAGTACAGCAAAGCACCTGAAAGAAACCAATTTCTACCCCACAAATATCACAGAATCATAGGTGCAGAAAAAACCCCAAGGATCGAGGAATCGACTGGTGTGACTGACTAGTCAGAAAAAATGTGGGAATTGTTTGTTCGTCCAGTAAAGTTTGACTGTCCGTTGGGGGGAAGGAGTTCTCCCACGTCCTCCCCCCAAAAGAAATCCTAAACACTCCATGTATGCTATATTTACATACATTGACCCCTTTTCAACCACCCGAACTGATTGGCAGTCCTATGGCAGTCCCATGGTGTAATACATGGAGTGTCTGGGAATTAAAACACACAACAACAAGTCGTGTGCGTGACCGGCACGTCACGTGGCACGTCACGACGTTGTCGAACGGTCTTCAGGATCGATGGCCCAAGCAGCACGAGATGGTGTCGATCCTCCAAACACCGCTGCAGGTAGCTCCGCATCGCCTCACCTGCGAGTGTCGCCACGGCCACGGCTGGCAAAAGTGAAAATGGAGGGACACAGTAAGTACCAGACACTAGTGGTACCAGTAAGTACGGGTATTAACGAAGGTCTGACATTCGGACACCGATGAGAAGCGGTCACAAGTGCGGGGGGTATGATGAAGATGCATGAAGATGCATGAAGTAGAATCAGGATTCTATGCCCAGCTTTGAATCCCTTATGTATTTATGCGGTGGCAAGCCGTGGGTTCAGGACAACAACGAGTCAACGCAATGCTGATAGGCGAGTGGCCCGTATTATAGCCCAAACACTCCATTGACCCCTTTTCAACCACCCCAACTGATCGGCAGTCCGGCAGTCATAGACATGTCGTGTCTGACTCATACCATGCGTTCCGACTCCTTGAAGTGATGTCGAGTTGCCTCCCAAGCCTGGAACAGTCTCTTGAAATCTTAGTGTTCATCTTTCTAGACCTCTAGAACTCCAGGCTTCTAGATCTCTTTGGATTTCAAGGCCTCTAGATCTCTCTCAATCTCAAGACCTTTAGACTTTAGACCTCTCAAACTCTGGATCTCTCTGGATCTCAAGAACCCTTGTCCTGTAGACCTCCAAAGCTCTTGATCTCTCGATCTAAAATCTCTACACCTCCAGACCTCTAGGCCTCTGGGACTCTAGATTTTTGTGGATCTCTCGACGATGTAGATCTTTCTCTAGACTTCTAGACCTCTCTGGATTTCACGGCCGCATCTTTATAGAACTCGACTCTGATACCTAAGCCTAGGCCGCCTAGGCCTTTAGACGTTTCGAGATGCTAGATCTCTGTAGACATCTAGAACTGGATCTCAAGACCTCTAGAGGTCTAGACCGTCTAGACCTCTCAAGTCTAGATCTCTGCACCATGAAACCTGTACTAGGTTTCTATGCCTCTCTTGATATCTCTGGATCTCAAGACCTGCCCTGGATCTCCAAATCTCATCTTTCTGGATCTCAAAACCAGACCTCTAGACCTCTGGATCTCTCGACCTCTATATATATATATATCCAGATCTCTCTTGAGCCCAATACGTCTAGATGCCTAGACCTTCTGCTTCTACACCTCTAGACCTTGAAGCTCTAGACCTCGTTTGGGCCACACTGTTTGGGGTCTCTTGCCGGGATCATCTTCGCGGGTATTGGGATTTATGTCTTCATCAGAAACTCGATGCGGTTCTTTACATGTTCTTTTTTCACATGTACAGTATCCATCCATCCGGAACCACAGAAAAACGGAGGGTTTGGACCTTCGGACATCAAAACTACCCAGAAGTGATCAACATTCCCTATTTTCATCCAAACACAGGAGTATGTGAATAGTACATGATTGGATTGTCAGGGATGGTTTTTCTTGCACCACATCCAACTTCCACGCCCGCAGCGGTGAAGACTCACCGACATCACCACTGACCACTCCTTCGTCCAGGAGCTCCATGACGGCGATGGCCTAGCGGTGAAGACTCCGAGGGGCCTGGGGGTAGGTTTGAGGGGTCTAAGCATGAAGCATCTGAAGCATGGTCTAAGCACCGTCCTCCACCAATAAAAAGGAATAAAAAGGAAATGGTTGGGGCCCGCCCTAGGGCCCTAGGGTATAAAGGGTAAACAGGCGATGGCTTCGTGTCGGAATGTTTCGCGAGGCGACCAAAGTAGTGCTTGAGAATTGCTTTAGACTCTCGTTTTCTTGCTGTGTTTTTGTGTGGGGGTTGCTGGGGGTTGCTTGGGGGTTGCTTGGTATGTGTTGAATGTCATCTAAAATTGCCGTGGAAACATCAACTCTCCTGAACATTGTGACTCAAAATGTACTAATGGTCAGAACACAACTGTACATGTGATTACATGTGCAGCTTGTAAGCGACTGCACATCAAATACGTGTGCATCACATCACCAAGATGTCATAGTAACCGGAACTTGGTATGTTGAGTGGCATCACCAACACGGCACTGGGGAGCAGTGCGAAATGAAGCCATTGGCAATGCTGTTGCCGGGTACAGTGCAAATCGGTGCAAATGAGAAGGACACATGCTTTTGTCCTCATCTTGAGCCCTTTGCCACCTGGAGCCGATTGGAAAAAGCAAAAAAGACTTAACCAAAGACTCCATTGCGACTGGAATATGTTCATACTTTGGGGTGGTTGAACAGAGGTGTATGATGGTGTATGTATGCCATGCATGGAATGTGCATGGAATATGTCTGGCTCATTGATCAAATTCTCACCTTCACGCGTCCTGCGCGTCCTTTCCGCTCCGTCGCGCGGAGCCTTGAGGCGCAACAAGTTCTGAGGCGACATGGTGGAGAGCCAGGTGAACAATGTCATCTTCAATGGCTTCGCCCAAAGCTCCTCCCGACTGGATGGACTTGGCCCGGGTTTGCACGACATTATATGGGGCAAGAAGTCATGTGGCGACACAAGAAGTTCGTTAACGAGCCGTGGTTGTGGGTCAAAACCAGGATACCTTGGTGCCTTAGTTGACCTGACTGGGAGGTCAATCAAGCTACATGGTGGATCAGTGTGTCAGGTTTTGACCCATCCCCATGTTGGTTGGGTGGAGAATACACCATGCCACACGGAAGAAATGTGCATTAAACAGTTGTATCTGTTTCTGCGATGACGACCTCATTCCGCGGTGAAGAGCGCGCATCGACGACTGTGCGTTCTTCCCTTCTGTTTTCTCGGGAAGACGGCACCGCACGGGTCCCACGTCCCACGTCCAACCCACGTTGCGGTGGCCACGTCCTGGGACAGGTCCAACTTGGCCACCGCATTCGCGCTCTTCACCTCGGGCGCCCGCCCCATTCGGGCGGAGGTCTCGTCCAAAGGCAGGACCGACCCAACGGGACCCACGGACGAAGTACGACCGGACCGGTCGCTGGCGCACAAGAGCCGGTCGTGGTGTGAGCCAGTCGTGGTCAATGTATCACACATGGAGGGGTAGGGAGGTTTACCACAAGGAGGGGTAGGGGTTCGTGATCTTGAAAGATCGAGTTATGCCCCCCTCCCCTGACTTCCGGATCCAACGGTCAAACCGGGAGACTCTTCGGACTTCGTCCACCGAAGCCATCAGGGCCCATCCGACCGAGCCGGGGCGCGGAGGGGCGCGAGAGAGCCCGCCCAGTCGACTGCATCAGTCGATGATTTGGAGCGAAAACCAATTGGTTCACCAGGCTTTTCTGGATGCTTTTGGGTGCAGCCCACGTCTTCGGTCCCTGCGGCCCTTCGAATTCCCTGCGGTCTGAGGGGCAAAGGTCTTCTCCACCAAGGAGCGCCAAGCGAGACTCAAGTGCCGCAGCACGCGACCCGCCTGACGCGACACCGGAATCGCGACCCACGGGTCCGAAAACACCGGGTCGCGACCCGGCCGGGGTTGGGCCCCAAACAGAAAGCCCATGGTTCTTCCGGAAATTCAGATTCGGCTAGATCAATCTCTAGGGCTCCAACTACGAAAGTACTTGGTACTTGGAGCCCTAGGGCCATACGTTGTCCTTTAGGAGGGCGGGACCTTCAACCATCAGTTAAACTATATATTATGCTGACCTTCCAGCTGTTCATTCTTTAGGAGCACAGTCCAAAGTCCTTGTGAGGGAGCCCTCGGGGTGTGCACACCCCTCACTAGAAACCTAAGTCATCAAACTGATAGGCCCTCTGGCCAATCGCATCAAAGCCTTGTCTGACGCTTTTGGCTCTCAAGTTTCAACTTAAGCTTCGGGACCGATCAATCCATCACAGCAGGCTTGAACCGGTGCTGTGCAGGCCGAGTAAGCCTCCAAACCTTGACCTTTGAGCAATTCGGCCAAGGATAGAAAGTAGAAAAGGCATCCTCTGCAAATCAATCAACCCTGGCCCAGGATCACCTAGTTTTCCAAGCATGGCACTTGCGCCGTGGTGCTTGAAGATTTGTGTGAAACCTCGCTGAGACACCAGCAACCATAGGACTGTTGAGTCAAACAGCATCCTCTTCGGGTTGTGGTGGCTGCTTGAGCAACTCAGCAGATGTCCCAGTCTTTCCCGTCCAGCTTGCATTTTGCAAACCTGGGGGAGATCGATGGACCAGTCTCCCAGAAATCGGAGGTCTGTCATTAACAGCCAGGGAATCAGAACGGACGGGTGCATTCGGAAAACACATGTGCCTGTAAGTGGAAGCAAGGAGAGCTCTATAGTGTTGAGGGTAGAAGACCTGATGCATATACCAAAGAGAAACTAGGAAATGTTCTACAATTACCACGGCCGGGTCATGATTTATCCTTGCGGCTGTGCAGGAGATCGTTCAACATCTTTCAATAACAGTTAAAGCTCCCCCCAACAATCATGAACGGAAGTGTCTACCAGGCAATTTCGTGCATTGCACCTCTGGGGTTCATCCCTGCGGAAGGAGATCGCAAGCGACTAAATGTACATGGCGGAGTAGGGGGCTACGTTGAGCCGCCTGATTTGATGTCTCACAGCTGACGGATCCAGGCTGGAAATCTCAGCCGTTCCGTCAGCTTTTTTCCGGCATCGCCAGAGGACAGTTGCGGCATGGTGAAGTCTCATTATGAACCTTTTGGACAAGTGCACAAGAAAGGGGGTCTGCAACAGCACTTGTTGTAACCTGCATCTGTCTTTCGCAACATCCCAAAACATCTGCGTTCTTTTTTGAACACCTGTGCTTTGGTGTGGTTCAGCCCATCAAGACATGCCACAAGGAAGAACTGCATGTTGGTGCTCAGGCAACTCTCCGGCTCACATGTCCTGGGCATGAGATCTCAAAATAACTAGCACTAGCACAAATGAACAACCTCCCAAAAGTCCCTGAGCAAAGCAATCGACTATACTAACTTATATAATACAGTAACCAAATAAGCCTGGCCTAGCTTGGCAAATCCAATCCAGCATGCTGAGATGGTAGAATGATTGTAGAGACTGATCCAAACCCACCCTGAACACCCTTCAAGACCTGAACCTATCGCTGCACCCTTCGTCTCTCCCCCGGATCGTCTAACATCACCCGCGCTCCCAGGGCGCCCGGGCCGGGTGCCCCACCACGCCGGGGAAGAGCGAGATCGGAGAACTCACCACCGCCTGACGGGGGACGTTCCCGCGAGAAGGCAATTCAGCGGCAGAAGGGGGGTGTACAAGTAAAATGGGGTGAGCGAGACTGGTTGGGGTGGGCAAAAATAGTGGTCAATGGGTGTGTACATTATATTTGCATGTACCGTATCTAGAAATTGGATGAACTTGGTGGCACCAAGGACTCAAGGACTGGTAACAGTTTACATGTATTTCCAGGATTGGAGTCCGCAAGCCCGACACCAAGAGCGTCGGGCGCGTTGGGCGCGAGGGGTCTCCACTGAAGGCTGAGTCATTGGCATCCCAGGTACAGTACCAAATGCTACTATAGGTGCAAAGGTCGAAGCACCAATGACCTGAAACCACCAACCATTGAGGAATTGACAGGTCGGCCCTGGACCATGCGCCGGGAGGCCAAAGGATTGGGCTGCGCCATCCTCTGGTTCGCAGTGACGGAATGCACCTCAGTCCCGCAGGCTGTTCTGGTGTTTGATTACACACGACTGACCCCCAAAGGGGTCCCTGCAAAGAGAAGTCAGGATGTCCAAAGTCCAACGTTCGAGCTTCAAGTTGTTGGAGATTGCTACGTATATGCATGTATACATCTATTCAACTATCTATTCATATTATATATAGATAGATAATTGTATATAGTATGTACATGAAGGAGTTCCACCTGCTTTGAGTTTACTGGGGATTCGCTGAAAATCATCTACAATCCCAAAACGCCTGAGGGAAACAGTTCTCCTGTTGGAAGATGATCATGTTCATTTGTCCCTAGGGCTGGGCTCGAGGGCAAAGAAATGCACTCACTGAGTCATCGGTATGACCGGCCGTTTGGGTACACCCCCCGGTCACCCCAATTGGGAAGAAAGGAGCAACAGCCCCTTTCTAAGCGGCTGTTGGGTCAACGACCGAGGCGCGTATGCCTGCAGGTTGGCACGGTAGTCGCTCCTCGATCCGTGTCGAGCGGAGCGACTCGCGGAGTTGGCCAGGGGGCTGTTGATTGAAAAGGTGTCTTTTTGGGGTGGATAACTTCCCCACACACTCCATGTATGGAATATTTGCCGAGAAACTTCACCTCTCAAACCACCCCATGTCATGTAAATGTAAATATGCCATCAAATGCCATCCACTGAGTGTGTGGTTGATTGCAGTCCCAACACAGGTCAAACCCTGAGCCTGGTGAACCCGGGACCGCCGGGACAGCCGCCCGGACCGGAGGTGATCGGTGAGGAGATCGGTGACCAACTCGACCATTCTCCGATGGCGGTGGCTGGGAGGCGCTTAAATCAGTTGAAGGGGGTGGGGGTCGCAGGGGGTCCACAGATGTATTGCAGGAAGCTTAAATCTGTTGAACCACATGAGACGCCAGAAGCACATGTGCAACATCTCTTCCGCAACTTAATGTTGAAGCGTGGAGAATTGCTTCCTTCAGTACGGGGTGAGCTAGCAGCCTGACCCTTACTCCAAAACTCCTTACCAAACCACACTGAAAGGAATATATCATGTCCACTTTGAATCAACAAACCAATACCCACTCCTGTATAAAGAAAGCTACAGTATGCTACAGTAAACAATTCCCAAATGATTTAAAAACTACCGCAAATAAAGCTGAACGTAGCCCCCCTCCATCTTTGCTTATCTCCATTGTGTGCTTGGGATTGAATCATTGTCATATTCATTGTTAATTGCCTGGCCTGCCACTGGAAATTGCAGGAATTTGCTCTTTGGTTCCTTCTTGAATATGTTATTCATTTCAAAACCTCGACCAAAACCCAAAACCTTCTGACAAGGAAAGGGTACCCCATGAAACCACCATACTAAATGCTGGCTGCAAAAAAAGAATCTATTAGCATCTATTAGCTTTATTTAGTGTTGGGCCGTTCTTTTCTTTACTAGACTAGATCTTCGGTTCCTTCTGAATTCCTTTCATCTCAATTCCAGGAATCTCGAATCTCCTCACAATACTCATCCCCTTTCATATCCGTTCCAGGAAAAATCCTCTCCACTTACAAATCCCTTTCATCATTTGCAGGAATGTCTCCAGGATTGGGGAATTGGATGGAATTGGGGGGTTAAGACTATTTAGGGGCATTGGGGGGGGCGGAGTCCGCTGTTGATTTTAAAAGCGGTCCATTAACCTGAACCAACTACCAGCTTGGCGCGTCCCATCCAAACTAAACTGCAAGACTCCACCGGAACACGCGGCGCGTGTACACGCCCCTCCCACCTCCACAGCGCAGTGGGAGGGCCTCCTACGTAGTTGTAGTGCACCTGGAGGCGCGCAAGCGCTGTGCAGGAAGGGCTCTCAAAACCCCGTCTGTAAGACTCTAAGACCATCTAAGACCAGGCGAGAGATGCAGTGTGCGACTGCCTAAAAACAAGCCCAGAGGGCACTAAACAGAGTCCAAAGGTATGGGTGTGCTAATAGAGAGCGCAGCCCTGGCCCCGTGGGGTTTCAGTTGATGTGTCCCTTCACCAAGAGAAACCAAGGGGGTCTCCATATTCTAAGACACACCCACACGTTCGTCACATAAAACGAAATCATTAGGGCCGTCTCTAAAATAAAAACACCAGCACTCCAAATGCTGAACCCGACCAGCAATCCAAAGCAGCACACCACAACGACTTTTGCCTTACCAAACACTCCATGTCATGGAAAAAAACCATGCCTACATTGACTCCTTTTCAACCACTCCAACTGATCGCCCAATATTCCGGTCCCATGACATGTTTGGGTTGGAAACATTGACGTGCGGAGGAAACGGTCGACGTCGGCCCACCTCCGAGATGGGTGGCCTTGGAGAGTTGGCTGAATTTGCGGCGATGAGTCGGTCGAGCGGGCGTTGTCTCTGTATGAGAGGTATTGAGAAGCTCCAAAATGTGAGTTTCTTAATTGTTAAGTATTATTGTGCTAATTACACATCATATATCAACATATACAATCATATACATACCAGTATATATATATATATAAAATATTCATATACAATCATATATACTGAAAAACAAATATCCCTCCAACAGGTCTCCTCTGGAGGCTTTTGCTGGACTTACAAGTCGCAGGTGGTGACCTGCGAAGTCAGGTGTGACACCACCCTTACACATGAGCATCTTCTTCCCCAACCAAAGCAAGGTGGCGCATGTCTTCCTTGACATGTAGCCTAGGATCGACTCTTGACACACGGATCGCGGTTGTAGACTCTCCGTTTGAATCAAACCCCACGTTGGAATTGCAAAACCATGCAAAAC